ACCTCTTTTAGCCGCTCTGTTATTCTTTTCCGTCGCCTGTAAAGGGAGCGCCTGTCTCTTTCTATTTTACATCTACTCCTCCTTTTTCTTAGAGGAATAAGCCTTGTGCATACATCGAGTGCCACCAAGTTAATCTGTTCTAGGCATAAGTTGGGGTCTGTGTTGCTTAGTATATCTTCCCAGCTTATATCGGTTAAGACTTAGTTTACTTGGTCCCACTTTATGTTTTTGTTATTGAAGTTGAATTTGGTAAATGCTCCCTCGTGACTAGTCTCATTATGTCGGTTTGGGGCTCCGCGCATACATGTCTGAACCTCAATTATGTTGTGATCTGAGTATATTGTTTTTGATATGGTGACATTTCTTATCAGATCATCATTGTTAGTGAAGATGAGGTCTAGTGTATTCTCCAGTCTAGTAGGCTCTATTATTTGCTGGTTTAAATTGAATTTTGTGCAGAGATTTAAAAGCTCGTGTGAGTGTGAGTTTTCATCAGAGCTGCCTCCTGGTGTTATTACTGCAACAATATTATTTGCTATACTCCTCCATTTTAGGTGCCTTAAGTTGAAATCCCCCAGGAGCAAGATGTTGGGTGCAGGAGCTGGAAGATTTTCCAGACAGTGGTCAATTTTTAACAGCTGTTCCTGGAATTGCTGGGATGATGCAAACGGAGGCTTGCAGACTACCACAATGACTAGGTTTTGGTTCTTGATCTTTATTACTAAAACTTTCACTACATCATTTGAGGCATTAAGCAGTTCTGTGCAAACAAGTGACTCTGCAATGTACAGGCCAACCCCCCCTCCTTTTGCCTGTTCACTCTGTCACATCTGTATAGGTTGTAACCTGGGATCCATATTTCGTTGTCCAAGTGATCCTTTATGTGGGTCTCAGTGAAAGCCGCGAACATTGCCTTTGCCTCTGCAAGCAGTCCACGGATGAAAGGTATTTTGTTGTTTGTTGCTGGCTTTAGACCCTGTATATTTGCAAAGAAGAATGTCATCGGACTGGTGGTATTGTTGGTACTGGGGGGGGGGATTTTTTTTCCGGCATTAGTATCTGTATCTGTTGGTTTGGAGTGGAGGCCATCGACTGTGGTTCCACTCCAGGAATGACTGAATTTGGTGTACGATTTCTGCCATTTCCTGCCAGTTTTTTTTCCTTCCTGGCACTAAAAAACCTTTCCTATGGCCTGGATGTTTTGTATCTTTTTGTCCCCTTTAGATGGTGTGCCTGGCAATTTAAGTTATAGCACAGTCTTTCCTGTACTGAAGAGGTACACATTTCAGGGTGAAAAAGCTTACAGGAAGGGAGTTTGCATTTTCCTGTTGTCATATGGGCACGGCATTTTCTAGGGTGGTCATAGCTGCACGTCCCGTCTGTTTTTCCAGATTTCCCATGTCTGCAGATACCAAGTGCATAGTATGTGCACAGGCTTGGTTTCCATTTGCCTTGGGTTTCTGTGACTGTATTCCCTGTTGGTGCATGTTTCCCTGTCTTATTCCTATCCACCCTAGCACCAACAATGGAGCTCCAACCAGTTGTTTTTGGTAATATATCCTCACTATTGCTAGTGGAGTCCTCTTGTTTGCTATTTCCTGTGGTATTTATAGTTTGCAATATTGGTTTTATCTTATCTTTGACTACACTTGTTTCCCCACTAAGGCTCCTGTCCCCTATGAAGTCATTTATATGTATTCCTTCCTGCGTATAATTCCCGACTACCTGGACAAAATCTCCAGCTTCACCATTACTGTCTCCCAGGACAGCACCTCCAGCTTCACCATTTCTGTCTCCCAGGACAGCACCTCCAGCTTCACCATTACTGTCTCCCAGGACAGCACTATCAGCCCCACATTTACTGACTACCAGGACATCACGTCCAGCCTTACAGTTTCTGACTACATGGCCAGTATCAAGGGCAGTACCATTCAGCCCAGACTTTTTATGTTCCCATCTGTTGTAGAAAGCTTCCAGGTTGTCTATGAAAGCAGCTTTGATGTTATCCTCTTTTAATACCCTTGTGATTTTAGTCCACAGATTTATCTCATTTGGCATACCCAAAAACACTTCCCTGTTTTAATACTGCTTGTAGCTAGTTCTTGGATATCTGCACAAGGGGCGTGACACCAATTTCCACAAAAATGACAATTTATCCATGTGGAAGCCCATTTGTTTGATTGACTGCAGACTACACAGAGATCATAATGATCTGAATGGTTGATTTACTGTAATTCTACTAGCAACCTCTTGAATACTCTATTAATAACCTCCTTAAATGAAGCTCTAGCTATTTGTATTTCTATTTCTAACTGTACTTGTATATTGGACAGCTTACCGTGTACGTTCCTAATTTATATTTATTGTTTGTGTTTGATAAGGGCGCCTACAACCCCATCCGTTTACAGTCTGCTTTATTGTCCAACGAATCCGTTTGAAACCAGTCAAGGGTTCGGACCAGTCAAGGGTTCGGACCAGTCGAGGGTTCGGACCAGTCGAGGATTCGGACCAGTCTGATCTGATCAGTGGGTCACTTATTTAAAATATACTGGTCAGTGATTTGAGCTAACACATGAAGGATCTACTGGAAATTATCTACCCGAGTAATATGTGATTTGATTGATACAAAAGTATAACTTGCGTGTTGAAGAACCGGTGATTGCTGTCAGCTCCTACAATGACGAACAGTCGAGCCTCAACCCTTGTTTATCAATCGCTGTATCTAGCTTTTCTAGGTTTTTTCGTCTCCACCACAATAAATGCTATATTATCACTATAGTTGACTGGTAGAAATTTTGGAGGAAGGACGCTTTTTCTGTAGTAATAATTGCTTCTCGTTGTGTATATTGCGACCGCTGGTAACTACAGGTATAGTAACTGTACTTATGTGTATATGTGAGAGAGAGAGACAGAGATATAAATAGACAGATACATAGACATAGAGATATAGACATACAGAGATACAGACAGACAGCCAGAGATAGCCAAAGTCAGCCAGCTGGCCAGCCTGCCGAATACATAAGAACATGAGAAAGAAGGAATACTGCAGCAGGCCTGCTGGCCCGTGCAAGGCAGGTCCATGTCACCCCCCCCTGGCTTAGACCAATGACCCACCTAGTAGGTCACATCCACTGAAGGAAGGAGCCCGGCATCAGACCTAGTAGCACAAGCTAGTCAGGTCCAACTCACACCCACCCACATTCACTCATGTATTTATCTAACCTATTTTTACTTTCCTCTTAAAAGGGGAGTGTTAATGCAACATGGCATCAGTGAATCTCTGGTGTTTGTCATGCTATTCGCTCTAGCTGGCGCTCAATTGAACTGGTGCTCCCACAAGGTACTAAATGGTCCCAGATTTTTTTAATACTACGCACACTGAGTGCGCAGACCCATTCTTTCATGTCTAGGTGACTCAAGTTCACAGTCCAACAGCTCATCAGGTCCCAAAAACCATTTGTCTCCATTGGTAATATCTCTCTAAATATTGTTCTAATATGCTTAACCCTTCCACTGTCACTTGTGTAGATCTATGTTACTGACACCAGTGTTACACAGATCCACATTTTAAGCATAATGTCCTCAATTTAAGGGTCATGTGTCAAGCAACAATTTAGAGGTTATGTGCCAAGCAAAAAGACAATGGCTCAAGGAAAAGCATGAATAATCAGAGCTGTTTTTTGAATAATCTTTAGTACAAATGTTTGATAATTGAATCTTCATTGCAAGGCACTCAAATTTCAGGATTTAGCTGTTCAGTAATACAAACAAGACATTAACCCTTTGGCTGTCGAGGTCATATATATACGTCTTACGAGGTACAGTGTTTGACGTATATATACTCATAAATTCTAGTGGCTTCAAATCAAGCAGGAGAAAGCTGGTAGGCCCACATGTGAGAGAATGGGTCTGTGTGGTCAGTGTGCACCATACAAAAAAAAATCCTGGAGCATGCAGTGCATAATGAGAAAAAAACTACGACCGTTTTTTTTAATTAAAATGCCGACTTTGTGGTCTATTTTCGTATAGTATTTATGGCTGTATTCTCATTTTCTTGGTCTCATTTGATAGAATGGAAACATATTATAGAAACAGAGGTGATTTTGACTGATTTTACTATAAAAAGAACCTGGAAATGGAGCTCAAATTAGGGGAAATGTTTGATTTTTGCTGATGTTCAAAAGTAAACAAATGATGTCATTGTCCAATAAATGTCCAAGTAGCCATTCTAATATGCAGTCATGAATGGGTTGACATTATTTATACAATTATTACAATATTGCAGTAGTCTGCATAACAGTAAATCTTCTATTTTTTGTTTGAATAAAAATTCAAAATAGAAAGCAAGAGTAATATCAGAAAATTAAATGTTATTTTAGAGCCAGGAATGTCTGCGATGTTCATTTTGGACCTTATTTTGAAATTGTCATATTTTTTAATTTTCGTGAAATTGGCCAAATTGTAAATTTCTGACCACATTATTGGGTAGTTGAAATCGGTAAATGGGCAGGTTCTTGCACTCAATCGATAGAAAAAATGGATTTCTACGAAAATAGTTATGAGTTTGGTCGACTGGAACAATGGAATTAGCCGAAATCGCCGATTTGTAAATATCACCGAGGTCGCTAACTTCGCGAGAGCGTAATTCCGTCAGTTTTCCATCAAATTTCGTGTTTTTGGTGTCATTACAATTGGGAAAAGATTCTCCATCATAAGAAAAAATAATTTTTTTTTTTTTAAATTTTGCGACACCAGGAGACACTTCAGGATTGGGGGTTGCGACAGTCAAGGGGCTAAACCAGTCAGTGAATAAAGTTGTTAAAATATTACGATTTACAGTGGGTTATAAATACCTCTTATTTAAGTTGCACTAATACAAGTTAATATCTATTTGTGGTAAGACATTCCTCTAACATTTTGATATGATAAAGTTCATTCTACATCTGTATAACTCATGATGCAGTTCTTCAGGTGCAAGACAGAACATAGAAGATAATTACTGAGGACAAGGTGGAATGTTTGACTCCTGGTGTGACAGCAGAGGGTTCGGGGAGGACCAGGTAGCTAGCCATGGCCTGGGTCCCTTCACCATTGCCAACACTCTTCTAATGCCTTCAAACAGATCCTCACAGCTCTTGCACACACGGCTTGCCTCCTCTTCCAGTATGTGCTCCACAGCCTGAAGATAGAAACTTGTTTTGTATAACACTAAGTTGTAATGTATTTTGCTCTACAGTACTTCCAATTATGCTGCAGTAAAAGTACCATGTATTACTGGCCATAAGTTGCATTTTTTAAATAAATATGCCCAGAGTCTTATGAGTGCATACTACTTCAAAAATGCATTAAAAATAATAAAAATAATGAAAAACGTAAATAAGAATAAAGGAGCACTGCAGTAGACTTACTGCCCAATGCTAAGCAAGCCCACAATCCAATTTTTCTTACTCAGTATCACTTATGAATGAAAAGAAGCTGGGTGAAGGGGGTAGGAGAGTTTCAGTGGGGAGAAATAAATGGGATTAGGTCAGAGATATCTGAGAGTGGGAGCTAAGACAGGGGTAGCAATAATATTGATGGAATGATAAGTCAGGCAGGAAAAGAGGGAATATAAATGTTCAAATTCAAGCAGTATTTACTCCATGAGTAAAATAAGTGTCAGATGTGAAGAGTGGGTTATAATAAGTGTTTATGCACCTTAAGAAAAGATGAGTGTAGGGAAGAGAAAGATTTTGGGAGATGTTAGGTGAGTGTTTAGCAAGTTTTGAACCAAGTAAGAGAGTAATTATGGTGGGGGACTTAAATGCCAAAGTATGAGAAACTGTTAAAGAAGGAATAGTAGGTAAGTTTGGGGTGCCAGGAGTAAATGGATAGATAAGTATACGAGGTGTGATATAGGGCGTAACGACAATAGTTTGTTGGACTATGTATAGCGGACAAAATGTTGATGGGTAGATGTCTGGATGTGCATGTTTATAGAAGGGCAACAGATATATCAGATCATTATTTAGTTGTAGATACAGTGAGAGTAAGAGGTAGATGGGGTACAAGGAAAATGGCATCAGCAAGTAAGATGCAAAAGTGTATAAACTAAAGTTTGAGGTAGTTAAGGTAAGATATAAGCAACTATTGGGAGAAAGATGGGTTTGTGAGAGTAGATTATGAGGAGGTTGAAGAGGTATGGGGTAGATGTAAGAATGAAGTGTTAGAATGTGCAGCAGAAGTCTGTGGATATAGGAGGGAAACTGGAGGTACTGGGAAGCTGTTAAAGACTGATGAAGAGAGGCAGTGATTTCATGCATTGGCCAGGGATGTATAACATCCAGTAGGAGTGAGGAAGAGCCAAATGTGAGAGTGGAGGTGCATCAGGTAGTGGGTAAAATGCAAGAGGGTAAAAGCAGCTGGGATTGATAGGATCAAGGCAGAAATGCTAAAAGCAGGTGGGGATATAGTTTTGGAATGATTGGTACTTTTCTTCAATAAATGTATGAAAAAGGAAAAGGTGCCTAGACATTGGCAGAGAGCATGCATAGTTTTGTATAAAGTAAAGGGGGACAAAAGACAGTGTAAAAATTATAAGTGGCTAAGCCTGTTGAGTATACCATGTTATGTGTATGGTAGAGTTATTATTGAAAGAATTAAGGGTAAGATGGAGAGCAAGAGGGCAGATTAACAAAGAGGCTTTAGGAAGGGTAGGGGATGTGTAGATTAAGTGTTTATATTGAAGCATATAAGAACAATATTTAGATAAAGGAAAGGAAGTTTTTGTTGCATTCATGGATTTAGAAATAGCATATGCTAGGGTGGATAGGAAAGCAATGAGGCAGATGTTGCAAGTGTATGAAATAGGCAGTGGGTTACTGAAAGCAGTTAGGAGTTTTTGACTCACCCTTGTTACCAGCATCTTTACATAAGTGGTCACATCTGGTGAGAGCCAAGCTAATTGAAGAAGGTTGAGTCCAGACACAACAGGAGTGAGGGAAGCTCCTGCAGCCAGCAGAAGGGTCAGGATCCTGGGCCTATTGCTAGTGACAGCCAGAACCAGGGCATGTGTAGGATACTCTGCCATAGCCTCTAGAGGAGAGCCCTTCAGCAGGAGCTGGCATGCTTCCTTCACATCATCACCAAGACAAATAACCTCCAGCAAGCGGCCATATAGGTATCGTTCTTCTTCCTCACTTGGCTGACAGACAACATACAGTCAATAATTATGCTGCAATTAGTTAAGTTAGAGAACACCATATTTTATACCTCTTGAAAGTATCTGTAAAGCATGAGAAATCTATAGGATCAGCCATTACACCAAAGGACAGTAACTGTAGGATAAGAAGAAACACTTCTTTATAAGAAAATCCAGGCTTTCAGTTTATTTTCTATGATATTACATAGTATTACATTATAAATTGTTATATCATACATGGAACTCTTTGCCCAGAACAGCAAGAGGTCCCCTGCCCACTAATCAATTTAGCACTCACTCAAAAATCATCTCATCTCTCAATAACAACTATACCCACACTATGCTGAACTCTAACCAAATTTAAAGCAACTCCCTCAAATATTTTATTATCCCTTAACTATTAAGCCACTATTACAAATTTAAAAATGAATGTTTGTATCATAAATTGTACAACCTCATATTAACCCTTTCAGAGTTTCCGACGTACTAGTACGGCTTACGCACCAGGGTTTTTGATGTACTAGTACACAAATTCTAGCGCCCTCAAATCTAGCAAGAGAAAGCTGGTAGGCCTACATATAAAAGAATGGGTCTATGTGGTCAGTGTGCGCAGTATAAAAAAAATCCTGCAGCACACAGTGCGTAATGAGAAAAAAAAAACTCTGACTGTGTTTTTGGTTTAAAACAGCAACTTTGCACTGTATTTTTGTATGGTATTTATGGTTGTATTCTAGTTTTCCTGGTCTCATTTTATAGAATGGAAGACATATTACAGAAACTGAGATGATTTTGACTGGTTTTACAATGAAAAGTACCTTGAAATTGAGCTCAAAGAAGCAGAAATGTTTGATTTTTGCCAAAGTTCAAAAGTAAACAAATCATGCCAAGCGTCCAATACACGTCAACTGGTGAGTCTAATATTCTTTCACAAGTGCGCTGATATTATTTATACCATTTCTACACTAATACAGCAGTCTGCGTAACAGTAAATCTTTCTATTTTTTGTAAGAATAAAAATTGAAAGTGGAAAGCCAAAGAAATATAAGAGGGGCCTGGGGATGTGACTAACAAACAGAGGAAATGTTATTTTAGTGCCAGGAATGTCTTTCTTGTTTATTCTGGACCCTATTTGGAAATTGGCATCTTTTGAAATTTGTGTGAAACTGGCAAAATTGCTAAATTCTGACCACTGTATTGGATAGTTGAAATCAGTAAATGGGTGGTTTCTTGTACTCATTCAATAGAAAAAAATAGAGTTCTAGAGAAATAGTTATGATTTTTGTCGACTAGTACACTGGAATTGGCTAAAAATAGGGCTCAAATTGGGCAAAATCGCTGATGCATAAACATCGTCGAGACCGCTAACTTCGCGAGAGGATAATTCCATAAGTTTTCCATCAAATTTCATACTTTTGGTGTCATTATGATCAGGAAAAGATTCTCTATCTTTTCATAAGAAATTTTTTTTTTTTTTTTTTTTTTTTAAATTTGGCCGACCCTGAGAACAAGTCTCGGAGCGGGCCTGTCAACCCTCAAAGGGTTAATTACCCAACAAAAGGCTGCAGTCAGAATGATAACAAATTCCCACTACAGGCAGCATACTCCACCAATATTCAAAACTCTAAACTTACTCACCATACAAAACATCCATACTTACAATTTTGCCTACTACATACATAGAACACTCAACTCGGATATAAACCCTCCCCTCAAACTTCTCCTTATCAACCTCAACAGAACACATGACCATAACACAAGGCACAGATCACTCTTTGATGTTCCCCATGTCCATCTCACACTATGTAAAAACTCAATGCACATAAAAGGCCCAAAAATCTGGAATTCATTACCTGTGAATATAAAAGAAATACTGTCTCTTTATCAATTCAAAACTCTTCTTAAAAACCACTTACTCAACCACAACTAAATAAATAATGAATAACTGAATCTCATAAATGCATAACCTGTGACCCTATCAAACTATTTTTTTTAATTGCATTACCTAATATAATACTCCATTCTCTTGAATGTACAGTAACTCACGAAATGACTATATGACCTGTTTCTGCACTACAAATCATTGATTTTACTCGATCTGATTCGATTATATTATACATTGTTATGCTACAAATTTGTACAACTTTAATTCTTCTTATTTGAAATACAGTAGGGCCCCACTTATATGGCAGGTTAGGTTCCAGGCTACGGCCGTAAAGTGGAAACTGCCGTAAAGTGGAACACCCTTATAAATGCATAGAAATACTGGATAACAAGTTTACACTAACATATATTAAGTTAGTAATAGAACTAGGCATTAAAAAACAATGAAAAAGTAAAATACGCAGATAGTGCACTCATTACTTACCTTAAAATATTTGTAGTATTAATCTAGGGTGAGATGAGTAGTATTTATTGCAAGAAATCAAGTGCGGTATGTATAGTAGCCAGCCAGACCAACCCACCCACACATACTATTCTATGATATTTAAGTATCCCAGAGCGATAAAATGTATATACAGTTCACTCATTACTTACCTTAAAATATACATATTCTTAATGTAGGGTCAGGGGTGAGTAAACAAGATAAAACGAATAAATGAAAGAGAGAGAATGAGTACACGAGAGAGGACAGGTGCAGTTATGTAAACAAACCAGGCGAATGCTAGTTTTGTAAACAAGCCAGGCATACACATCTGGTTTGTGTGCAAATTACATTGTGTACAAGTTGTCTCTACATTGATACAGTAGAATAAATAAAGAGGAACACTCCCATTCTCATATAAAATCATTTTTTGAAGAAATGACGCTCTGAGTGAAGGCAATGGATATCAAACATAGGTTGTGGCAGTGGCAGCAGAGGCACCAAGCTCTGTCATTTTTCTCACCTGCAGAGCCCATCAACGCTTCTATGATGGCCTAATTGCAATCATAACTGCACTAGCGTACGTAGAACGCAGCATGACCCAAAATAACAGTGATACCTACAAACCGAAAAATTACTGATTGAAGCAAAGACTGCCCCACAAACTCCAAGAACAGCCCCGCTGCCAAACAACTACCTACTCCAAGCTCTTAACTAATTTAGTTTCTCCATCTAACCATAGCAACTCTTGTACTACTATGAGACCAACTCATAGAAGAAATAGCACTAAGAACAGCAAGGCAGCACCTAGAAACCGACTATTCCATAAAACGACTCAGCAGGGCGCCGGTGCCCCATCCACCCCCTCACCACCCAGAGTGACGCATCATCAACAACAAACATGGCCGACTCACCCTCACCCACCAACCAAGGCGACTCGACTACAACAACACCAACCGTGTCTTGACTCCCTCTCTACCTCTACTACCTTCATAGGATTTAACCCATCTGATATGCTCTCAGGTATGGCTAATGATCCTGACACTCTAAAGAATTACATCATTACAGAGTAAAGTCTGAGGCGGCTATGGTGAAAAGCTCTATTCCGCAAGGCACAGTACTCACTCCCGTCTTGTTCCTCATCCTCATATCTGACACAGACAGGGATGTAAGCCATAGCACTGTGTCTTCCTTTGCAGATGACACCCAAATCTGCATGACAGTGTCTTCCACTGCAAGGCTCCAGGCAGACATCAACCAAATCTTTCAATGGGCTGCAGAAAACAATATGAAGTTCAACGATGAGAAATTTTAATTACTCCGATATGGTAAATGTGAGGAAATTAAAACTTCATCAGAGTATAAAACAAATTTCAACCACACAATAGAGCAAAAACTAACATCAAAGGCCTGGGAGTGATCAAGTCGGAGGATCTCACCTTCAAGGACCATAACATTGTATCAATCGCATCTACTAGAAAAATGCCAGGATGGATAATGTGAACCTTCAAAACTAGGGATGCCAAGCCCATGATGACACTCTTCAGGTCGCTTGTTCTATCTAGGCTGGAATATTGCTGCACACTAACAGCACCTTTCAAGGCAGGTGAAATTGCCGACCTAGAAAATGTACAGAGAACCTTCACGGCATGCATAACTGAGATTAAACACCTCAATTACTGGGAGCACTTGAAGTTCCTGAACCTGTACTCCCTGGAATGCAGGCAGGAGAGATACACGATTATATACACCTGGAAAATCCTAGAGGGACTAGTACAAAACTTGCACACGAAAATCACTCCTTACAAAAGCAAAAGACTCAGCAGACGATGCAACATCCCCCAATGAAAAGCAGGGGTGTTACTAGCACGTTAAAAGACAACACAATAAGTGTCAGGGGCCCAAGACTGTTCAACTGCCTCCCAGCATACATATGGGGGATTACCAATAGATCCCTGGCCGTCTTCAAGCAGGCACTGAACAAGCAACTAGTCGGTACCTGACCAACCGGGTTGTGGTTCGTACGTTGGATTGCATGCAGCCAGCAGTAACAGCCTGGTTGATCAGGCCCTGATCCACCATGAGGCCTGGTCACAGACTGGGCCATAGGGGCATTGACCCCCAGAACCCTCTCCAGGTAAACTCCAGGTATATCTCACTGTGTAAAAAAACTATACACATAAAGGGTCCCAAAATTTGGTATTCATTAAGGCTCTTCTTAAAAACTACCTACTGAACCTAAACTAAATACTCAATATTTAACTTTACCAAAAATCTCCCAATTACCTAACTCTTAACCCTTTGACTGTCGCAACCCCCAATCCTGAGGTGTCTCCTGGTGTCGCAAAATTTAAAAACAAAAAAAAAATTATTTTTTCTTATAAAATGATAGAGAATCTTTTCCCGATTGTAATGACACCAAAAAAACTAAATTTGATCGAAAACTGATGGAATTATGCTCTCGCGAAGTTAGCGACCTCGGCGCTGTTTACAAATCGGCAATTTCGCCCACTTTGAGCCCTATTTTCAGCTAATTCCATTATTCCAGTTGCCCAAACTCATAGCTATTTCTTTAGAACTCTATTTTTTCTATCGATTGAGTACACGAAACTGCCCATTTACCGATTTCAACTACCTAATA